CAAAACAGAGAAGAATACAGTGGCACAACTGGAGGAAGGAATTTACTTGGTAAAAACAAGGTAGCCCAAGTTTTAATTATGGCGAACTGGGTGGGAGGAAGGGGTGGAGGGGACGGAGGCCTTATTGTAAAAATAACCGTCTCTCTTGGTAAAAGTTGGCAATGTGGTCCTCCTCTGCCTTCCCTGTTGAGAACAGGCTGGCTCGTGGGACTTACCCTAAGAAAGCTAAAATAAGAGCAGGGAGCCTCTGGGGCTAAGATCAGTAAGGTTTGCTGTCATTTTTGGAGCGCTTCAGCTGGACCTTCAAGCGTTTCATGCCGATCTGAAAGCCATTCATTGCCTGGATAGCAGCTTGTGCAGAGACAGGATTGTCATAGCTAACAAAACCTGGAAAACACAAATGGGAAGGAGGGAGAGTGGGAATAAAGATGGAGAGGAACAGAGGGTTAGAAAAGGAGACCAAGGCTTCGTGGGACAACTGGCATAGCATGACTGTTTTGCTGTCGAGTCAGTTCCGACTCATAGCGACCCTGTGGGGTTCCTTAAGAGTGGCTGATGGATTTGAACTGCAGACCTTGTGGTTAGCAGTTCAGTCTTATCGTACAGCACCACACTAGGACTTAGCGTGACTCTGAATGACAAATGCTATGTGGTAATCTCATGATCTCATTTCAGTTTTCTGTTAAGTTTGCCAATGTGTGGATTATGACTGTACAGGGCATGTTTCAGGGGCCAAAATGAAATGTCCACTGGAAATCAGTGACTAGAAATCAGTGAGGAAAGCTAGCTGGTTGCTAATTTGGTATCAGACTGAACAACATCCGTCGGTACAAGGTTTAAAATCTCAAAATGTTTGAGTGAATTTAATTGTCTTTGTTTACTAATTTCCATCAAACCTATTTATGTATCTAAAGTCTCTTAGAATTTTCCCAGGAGGAGTCCTAGGACCCAGTGATCTAACCCTCCAGTCCTAGGAGATTTAGATGACCAAAGACCTTTAATGGCTTGCATTCCATTGTCCACATAGAGTCACAGACCAAGTTCATACCTGCTTAGGACCAGTTAGTAAATCAACTCTAGAATAACTTACTTTTAATTTTGTAATACTCTTGGGCTTTTATTGAGAAGAATTCAGAAATTCTGGGCTTTTTACTTGTCTTAGTTTCTGGTTTTTTTTGAAAGCACTGGTGAGTTCAACAGAGTAAAAATTACTACCTGTACTCAAGAGGTCTTGGGGGGGGAAGCGGGGGAGGAGGAGGAAGCAGTGTAAACAGGTCAGAGCTTCAGCAACCATCCTAACAAGGAGTTCCAACATCTTTCTCTGTAGGAACAATCATCACCTAAAAATGTAGGCAGGGCATACTTTTGAAAAAGAACTAAAGTAACAAATAATGGTTCTCTGCAAAGACCCTGAACCAGAGAATTTTGACCAATTCACTCTAACATTGGGGATGAGGTGTGGGGCAGGAAGCAGTAGAATCAAGACTAGAGTGAATGCTGGTGCTAAGTATTGAGATGATGCAGTTCCTGCTTGTTGTCGGTATTGAATGGAAGCTAAAATACTGATTTCATTGCAGTTTTGAACCTCAGCTACTCAGGAAGTTCTATACTAAGCTTCTCCATCTTTCTACTATTAAAGTTTAAAGCTAAAGAGAAAATTCCTTCAGAAAGTAGATACGGAAGAAAAGGATATAATTATACTTTAAGCAGAGTTCTTTCCTCAGCTGATAAAAATGGGAAAATGGTACAATGCAGAAAAGCTGCTCACAGGCAGGGTGTTCTGTAAAATGGTTGTTTGCATTTTCATTAAATCTAATTCTCAATAAATGTGGTCCCAAGCCCAAGATTGTGGCTTTAGAGACCCGGAAATAGCAAGATAATTAGAGAATGGAACTGGATCTTAGGGACAAAACCACCTGGCCAACATGTGAAAATGAAAGAATGGGATACCACGTGAAAACCAGCAAACTTGGAGTCCCAGGTTTAAGTTGCCTCACTAAGAAATCAGGTTATTGGCTGCTGACAATTATAGCTCCCATTATTATAAACACACTGGGTAAATAGTTTGTGGGCCGATACAATCTCTTTTTCAAGGCAGCAGCTATTTTCTCAAAATCAAATCATGGAGTAAAATCCCTTCCAGTATCCAAATAATCTAAAGCATTGTTTAGCTATGAGAAATATAAACGTTTGGCTGAAAACCTTGTGCAGGGAAGCCTCCCTCCCAAAGGTAAGCTCATACTCAAACACACACCCACATAGCCTATATAACAATTTAATTTCCATCTCTGTCTCTCCTGAACCATTCCAAGAGGGGAGCAAGCAACAGTAGTGAACTAGGGGAAAGCAGTGACTTTAACGGTTCCGTAACAACAGAGGTTTCAGATCTTCCTGGGTGATGCACAGAAATTAGAAAGATGTTGCTATAATTGAGTGCTTGAAGCCTAAGCAGTCTCATTGGACTAGTTATCAATGACCACTTTTTGACTATCTCAGAACCACCCCTCCTTTTCTAGGGTGCTCTTCTTTACACCATACCATTTTATTTGCATTTTCTCTGGTCCATATCTGTTGGATTTATTTTATACTACTATTATTACTACCTACATGAATTATTATAACATGTTGTTGTTGTTCTGTGCCGTGGAGTCGGTTCCGACTCATAGTGACCCTGTACAGGGTTTCTGAGGCTGTAAATCTTTACGGGAGCAGAAAGCCTCATCTTTCTTCTGCGGAACAGCTGGTAGTTTCGAACTGCTGACCTTGCGGTTCACAGACCGATTCATAACCAGTACGCTACCAGAGCTCCTTTATTATAACATAGGAATGATGAAAACTAACTTTTTTCTATCTGAAAATGGGCCAGAACTTACCCAGAGAGTATTAAAAACTCTATGCTAACCTCTCAAATAATTTGGGAGTCAAAGGGGTTCCCAAAATAATAGATGTAAAGTTAGTGTGTGACGGGAGAGCTTCTTCACTCATCTCTGGCTGCTTGAGGAAGACTAGCATGGCAACATGTGCGCTGGGAAGTCGGGCTTTGTAATATTTGGATCCTATCTGTACACATCTGTATGCTATATCCATTCATGCTAACCATATAGTCCCAAATTCTGATCCGTAACTCTCATCATGTTACAGTATTTTTATGTTAACCGTGAGAAACGTCAACCACCAATCTCTGCACATGTGGAAGTGCCATTTGGCTGACAGCCTGAAGCACATCCCTAATTCGAGTGGACAGTGAAACCTCTGGGATGGCCTTGTTTTTCCAGAGCTCGTAAGCTGTCCACCTTTGACAGTTTGCTGTACTACTCTGACATATTTCCGTCTTAACACAGGTTCCGGCTTTTGCACATTTTACTGTATGCGTATTTGTGGGAGAGTATGTGTTATGCACATCAACCTGCCGAACAATCAGCCTCCAACCATAGTTCTGAGTTACCTTAAATGCGGAAGGGTACCTTAGCTGCACAGTCCCTGCACTGAGACTCCGTGAGTCTTAACTCGTCTGTTAACTCTCTTTCTAGCAGCTAACAAAGCTTGCAGCTCAATATGGCGTTTAAAGAAACTACTGTTCCTTTATGGTGAAAGACTGTGAGGAGTATGTTAAAGACTTTGATAGTACATTACCTACTATTTACTAGATTGTTGTTGTTGTTGTGAAGTGCTGTTGAGTCGGTTCTGACCCATAGCGACCTTGTTTCCGAGGAGCAGCTGGTGAGCTTGAACCAACATTACCTAATATATGGGGCATTTTGTTGAACTTTCCAGGTCCTTCCTAAGGAGCTCTGATAGTGTAGTGGTTACGAATTGGGCTAACCTCAAGGTTGGCAGTTTGAAACTACCAACGATTCCACGGGAGAAAGATGAGGTGTTCTGCTCCTGTAAAGATGTACAGCCTCGGAAACCCTGTGCAGAGTCACTATGAGTTGGAACCGACTCCACGGAACGTAACATCAACAACGACTCCTTTATTGATTAAAAACCATTGCCCAAATGTGCTTCCGTGCATCTAGAAAATTAGAAACTGCCACCACACAAGTAAGGGGCCCTATCCTGACTTTTAAAATATTTCCCTCACTTGGGAACCTACTATAATACCCTAACTTGATTTCTTTTGCATACCAAAGCACTTGCTCAGATTGGTCTGTTTGTCAATGAAGACTTTAGCAGAGATAACATTTCCAAAAGGCATGAACATCTGCAGAATGTCCTGGTCTCCAAACTCCTGTGGAAGGTGGTAAATAAAGAGGTTTGCCCCCTCTGGACCTGAAGAGAGAAAAAAAGTCAGTGTAAGGTATCCCTTGTGCCTTGTTTCTGAAAGCCTCTTCTTTGGAATGCTGTAACAACAGATAGGCTAAGCATTTGGCTTTCTCGATTACTAAAAGAACAACACACAGATGGATAAATGTCAAGTGCTTATATGACTTTTAGGAAGGCAATTATCCTTTAGATTTTTCTGATTTCCAATGGCACATTTGGTAAGAATGGCTTCCTTTTCACTGATAAATCTGTGGGTCATATTTGCTTGCTGAACATTAGCACATATTTTGAGTCTTCTCAGCAGGGGAAGGAGAATCCAAACAAAAAAGAATACATTCTTGAATGGCCATATTCTGCCATCTGAGTGTATTAGGTTGGTGAGAGAATGAATTCTGTGCTTTCTAAACAAATTGCAGCAGCAATTTAGAATAACGGATATAGCAGTAATGTTACTTGGGCTACTCAATCATTTTACCTAATTATCCAGCCAGTTTTGATTTGCCAAATCTCTTAACACACAGTCTAATACTCATCTTTAGTAGAAATGACTGGCAACGAGTCAAGATGGGGGTGGGGAGGTACCTGAAGTCTCACAACTGTGACAGGAATTATGCCTTGGAAATGACTGCCTTGGGTGTAGAAGCTAGTCAAAGAATCAGGTTAGCCAAGCTCTCTACTCGTACCCATCACTTTACAGAAAAAAACAAGAAAGAAGGATGGAATACAGAAAATCTTAGCTCTGCTAGCTAGAGAGGGGGATGGTCAGCTCTCCTAAGTTCCTTTCCACGGCACTCTCCCATCTCTCCCCAACTGTACAAGGGCTGTCTGAAAGTCAAAAGGAGGATGGAAAGGAAAGAAGGGAATCCAAAAGCCCTGACCAAAGAAAATCGTATGCTCGTATATGAGGGGGGCTACAAAATGTTTGTGGAAAACTGCCATTATCTTTAATTCAATTTTTCCACACTTTTTGAAGCCACCTCATATAACCGCTCAGACGTTTCCCAGGTCAAAGAGTGTGGGGGCAGATCCTTCCTGCTTGCTGCGGGAGAGCCAGGAGTTCACAGTCCTCCTGAAATCACTTCTGGAGCTGCTCCTGGAGCCTCAACTAGCATTCACAGGAGAGAACCCCATGGCTGGCTGGCTGCCTCTTTCCAACAAAACTACAGTGGTTCCCTAGAAGGGAGCACGGCTGGAGAAAATAAAATGTGGGCAGCCATTTTTTTTTTTTTTTGTAAGAATGAAATAGTATCTTTACAAATAGAAGTCAATCACGTTCCTTTTCATAATCAGTAAATTATAAAAGAAAACGTTTTAAGTTTTCAGAAAGAAGGACTTCTTAACACATATTTCTGAAGTCACAAAGATGATGAAGCATTTCTTCCTTGTATTAAGTACCTACAGGACTACTTTGGCTTTCTACTCCTGCTGTTTCCATGGACATATGCACATTCCAGAGAAAGCGGTTCTGTCTTGTAAAGGAATACATTGCAGGACTTAGGTCCCTAAATATTTCCTGGCTAAGAAAAAAAAAGTAAAAAACCAAAACCTAATGTGAATAGATACAAAAATAAGCCGGAGATATAAATTCTGAATGCTACTGTGCCAAGCACATCCTTTGCAATATGTATATAGGTCAAATCTGGTACCACCCAGATTTAATGCCCCTTCTAAATAACAGATCCAAATGCACAAATGAGGATTAATGGGACCCAATTTGAATTGTGAAGTACATCCTACCTTGTGAAACCTGGAGAGAAAATGCAATTTTAATGCACTAAGATTACTGGCTATGCCTGAATAATCCTGGCCTCTAGAATGCTTTCCTTTTTGTCTGTACTCACACCAGAAAGGGGGACCAAGAAAATATGGAGACGGGTAAATAAACCCAAGGAGGGTTTCTAGTTTTGCCCATCATTTATCCCAGGAAAAAGATCAACACCATCTCCTACTGAGGAGCACCCCCCATCCCACCCCTTCACCCATTTTTTTTTAATCACCAAGAAATAGTTTGATTTTACAAGCCCCCCAAAGTGTTAATATGAGAAAAAGGGGAGTCCCTGGTAGGGCAATTAAGTAGACTACTGCCATAGATGTCAAGGATAAAAAAAATATATATATATTTTGAGGATTCTCCTCTTCCTGCAGCAATAATAAAAACCTGTTAAGAAATCTGCCATGAGTCAGATTTCTCCTAGCACAAGTTACTATAACTTGTTCAAGTTATCTTGGTTATATTATTGGTCACTGTTGGTTGGAGTGTTTAAACCTGATCTAACAGAAAGCACTGGAGGTAGTTGGTGGGTATCAGGCTGCTGGCTCCGCCAACGTCTCAAAAGCTGTGTGTGTAGGTTTCTTGCAAATAGAAGATGGGATATCATGAGACAAGTTAGAGAATACTGAGTGGCAAGAAGAGAGTTGATCAACTTTCCTGGATTTAGATCTATAGAGATAGGCCATAGCCCTTCAGAGGATTTTTGTTGTTCAGTGCTGATGAGTCGGTTCTGACTCGTGGCAACCCTGTATATTTATGGAATATTTATGGAAGCAAGACGCCTCATCTTTCCCCCATTAAGTACCTCATGGGTTTGAACTGCAAGCCTTGTGGTTAGCAGTTCAGTGCTTATCCTACAGAGCCACCAGTGTTCCTCAGAAGAAAAAAAAATGAAAACCTTTTCTGTCCAAAGAGTTCCTCGTTTTTCTTGGGGAAAAAAAGATACACCAAAGTACATGATTAAATATAGCAAGTGGACTTTCAACTCTCTCCACTAAAGAACAGAACTATAGAGCAGAAAATCTAGAAATCCACTTAGTACTGAAATTCATTATGGAATAGTCGCTCTCTCAGTGTACTTGTCCTTGTTGTGTGCCATGGAGGTGAAGCTCTGTAGAACTGCTCTGTAGGGTTAACAAGGCTGTCAGCTTTACCAGAGCAAACCACCAGGCCTTTGCTCCTGAGGAACTGCTGGTGAGTTGAAACCACCACCCTTTGGTTCCTAGCTGAACACTTAACCATTGTGCCACTAAGGCACCGTCTCTCAGCATCATTTGCCTTTTAGCTTGTTTTACTTAAACTAATATTAAAATGGTTCAGATATGCTGAGCAGAATAACTGGGTGAGAAGACAGTGATCAGTAGGGAGTATAAGGAAGTGGAGAATGATTAAAATTAAAAACTGACCCGCCCGAAAAAAACAAAAACTAAATCCCATAGCAACCCTTAACCATGAAGCAGGCAATTCACATACCTAACCGTGAATAATCAGAAGTTTACAATGGCTAGTTTATGTTAATCCCAGGGATGCCTTGCTACACAGACAATCCCTGAAATCCAAGGAAGTGTGGGGGCAGGGCCCACATTTATCACCATGGTAGCGAAATCCAAGGCAAAGGGACAAAATTCATGTTTTCTTTTGGGGAGACGTGATGTTTTATGATGTGGGGACTCCTTCACACGCCTGGTGAAACACAGTTGTTTGAATAGTCCTGTATGTTTTTAAAACCTACCATAACAATTACTGTAAGAGTAAGAAGAAAGCAGAAATGATGATGAAACAGAAAACTAAGTTGTGTCCCCTTAAAATGTACAACTTTAACAACTTCATAAAGTAAAACTGTTCTATTTTTTACAAAACACCATGTTTAAAGTCAGCCTATCAAGATGAAAGCCGTTTGGAACTATAGGGTGAAGGGAAAGAAGTAGGCAAGGACTGTTAAGAAAAATTCTGTTTCAGTACTTTTCTATTAGAACTTCTTTTTCCATATTTGAAATAAGTCAGAAAGAGAATAAATAGCACGTTACAGCTATTGCTTCAAAGCAAATTCAATTAAAGAGGAACGAACGAAAAAGCTCACTGGGACTAGCTATTAACCATTTAATTTATCCTTAGTATTTACTTCCTGAAGTTTCTTTTGCTTTATTGGTGGAGAAGTCAGGCGATCAATCACTTAGTTTCTTTCCCAGAAGACCTCCTTCTCCCAGTTACACAAAGAACAAGTTAATCCTAACACTAGGTTTTAGGTTGTCATTAACCTAAAAACAATTGCCTACAAAGACGCAGGTCTATAATCTCAGGGTATCTGGACTTTGAAAAACCTATGAAATTCAGGAGAGAAAGTACTTCACCCACTGAAGACTGTACAGATGAGAGCAGCTTTCTGCTTTGAAGGTTGGGGGTGGTAGGGACAGTGATTTGGGCAGGCAAAAGTTCCAGGCAACTTTTGGATGGCAGAAACTAATGTGTCACAGCATACAAACACACAAATGTGTAACAATCCATCGTAAGAGTCAGATGAAAAGTTAAATCAAAAGATAAAAGACTTTCTTTTATGAAAGACGGATATGTCTGAATATAAGATCTAAATAAATGGTTTCCGGCCTGTCCATTTTCTTACACAAACATGAATAGTATAAATACAGCCACTGATTTCCATTAGAATGCCAGCTAAAGGAGACTGTTGTCCACTGGGCTGGAGCCCAGGCAGGCACGTACCTTCTTTCTGGCTGCCTGCAGCGCTCTGCTGTTGCAGCAAGCTCTGGCTGTAGAGAGTGGGCAGTGCTGCTGCTGCGTACTGCTGGATTCCTGAGTAGGCCTGGGTGAGGGCGTCCATGGTGCCAGCTGTACCATTCGTCAAGCCCGTGGCGCCAAGTCCTCCATTCAGAGCCGCCATACCTGAGAGCATTTGAGCAACTTTACAAAAAACCCAACAATAGAGAAGAGAAATAGCACTTATTCATTAGTGCTTTCCAAAGGAAGTTAGAGAATCATTTGACACACATACAACAGCAAGAGCATGCAACTGGCACACCAGTTAGACCAACAGGAAATTGGAAACGAAACGATAAAATCATAGACCACAACAATGGTAACAACAGCAACAACAAACAAAAACCCCAAACCCTGAGCAATGATAGCCCTTCCTCCCTAGGCCAGTGGTCAAATTCACCGAGGCACTGCATTACGACAATACATCTTCATTCCATGCAATGTGCTACTGGCAAGTACTGTTGTTGATATCTTCTAGAAATAAAATCCTCCTGCTTCTTAGAGCTTAGAAGGATGTACACAAAATAAACCGAAATGAAACAAAAACAGCAGTGGCAGAGACCTGTAACATCTGTACACTTAAATCCATTGACTGGGCTCTTTGAGGAAGCCTGGGATGGCATAAGTGGTTGAAGAGGAGAGGATAAAATAACGTTGCTCCCCTCAGCCATCTGATGATGAAATGGCAGAACAGACAAGCTTTGTACTCTTCAAACCAGCAAGTCAACAGTTTCATTAACTGGTGTTCCTAAACAGTTACAGGCTGTTTTCAGGGACTAGAATTTTAGGAATAATCTAGATGAGTAAGAATTAAGGCACAGGAAGCAATGTAGATACTTCCTGTAACTGTGGAGAACGGAAGCTGCTCATTCAACATCAAAGGCTGGAAATTGAATGGTGCAGTTTCAGTAGCAAATAGTTAACACATATACATACATGAATATGGATCAGTGCACATGTACTGGGGTCTCTGCCAATGAAGGAGCGCCATGTCATGTTTTTCAGTCAACTGAAGTGACACCTGTGTCTGTAAGCTGTATCTTGGCTATTAACTGATGTGAACTGGATGTTGGCCAGCATATTTTTCGCATTTTTTTCCTTGTATCCTGGCTGCTCTTTTGCACTATAATAGTTGCTGACTGTGTCACATTTTTCCTGATTGCTAAGTCAAAACAAGCGACACTCTGTAGAGTGTTAACTTCCATATGAGCTCAGGAAATGGAAGAGGTGACATCACAATTATCTTCGGTTCCCTTTACAATTAGAATTATTTTTTTTGTGAGTTCGCGTTTTATTTCTTAGACTACCCCAGTAGCTTTTAAGCAGAGTGTTATACAATTTCCATGTATTTGACTTTATTTCCTTGGTCTTCCTATTGTTGAGTTCTAATTTAATAGCATTGTGGTCTGAGAAGATACTTTGTAGTATTTATCTATTTGTAAATTTATGGAGGCTTGTTTTGTGGCCTAACACATGGTCTATTCTGGAGAATGTTCCATGTGTGCTGGAAAAGAATGTGTATTGTGCTGTTCTTGGGTTGAGTGCTTTGCACATATCTATGAAATCAAATTGGTTGATTGCATTGTTTACTTCCTCTGTATCTTTGTTGAGTTTCTTTCTGGTTCTATCCTTTTTCAAAAGTGGTGTATTAAAATCTCCCACTATGATTGCAGATTTATTTCGTTGGTCAATTCTAGTAGGGTTTGCTTTATATATCTTGGGACTCTCATTGGGAGCATGTTTATTTATTATGGTTATGTCGTCTTGTTCAAGTGACCGTTTAATCATGAGCTACTGTCCTTCTTTATCTCTTTTTATGCTGGTTTTTGGCTTAAAGTTTGTTTTATCAGAGATTAATATTGCTGCTCCTGCTTGTTTTTTATTGCAATTAGCTTGGTATATTTTATTCCATCCTTTAATTTTTAATCTGTTTTTGTCTTTGTGTGTAATGTGTGTTTCTTGCAAGCAACATATTGAAGGGTCCTGTTTTCTTATCCATTCTGCTACTCTCTGTGTCTTAACTGGTGCATTGAATCCATTGACAGTGTAATTATTGCTAGGTATGACTTAATTGCTGTCATTGTTAGTTTTTTTGTGGTGCTGCTGGTTCCTTTGTTCTGCATGCCTTCTTGTGCTGAGTTCATGTTTTTAGTGTTCTTTCTTGTCAGTTTCTTCTTACTTTTAATGTTTCCATGTTTTTCTTGGATTCTTCTTGGTATGCTGTAAAGTATTAATTTTTTTTGAGGTTGCCCTATGATTTATTTTTTCCTCCATTTGAAACAGTCTATTTTATCCTACAATCACCTGGCCTCCTCACCAGCTAGAGTGCTATTCCTGTATTTTTCCCTTGTTTAACACTGTCATTATTTTGCTCTTTGACTGACCTCCCAGGTCCTCTGAATTTGTTTTAATTTTGTTCTGTTCTGGATTCTTGTGTCAGCTGGGTTCCAGGTGGTGTTGCCACATGTGTCAATCTCTGGTTGTTGTCTGTTCATGTTGGTTTTCAGTCCAAAGAACTACCTTCAGGATGTTTTGAAGCGCTGGGTTGGATTTGACAAAGTCTCTTAGCTTCTGTTTATCCTGGAATGTTTTGACTGCACCATCATATTTTACTGACAGCTTTGCTGGGTAGATGATTCTTGCTTGGCAGTTTTTTTTATTTCAGGGTTTTATATATGTTGCTCCATTGCCTTCCTGCCTGCATGGTTTCTGCTGAGAGATCAGAGCTTAATCTGATTTGCTTGCTTTTGTAAGTAACACTTGTCTTTGCCCTGGCTGCTTTTAGGATTCTCTCCTTGTCTTTGATTTTGGAGAGCTTGATTATGATATGTCCTGGTGATTTTCTTTTGGGGTCTATCCTTCCTGGGGTTCATTCAGCTTCTTGAATACTTACCTTTTCATCCTTCAAGATGTTAGGGAAGTTTTCTTCCAGAAGATACTCAGCTATCTCCTGTGATTCTTCCTATTCCAGAATGCCAATAATTCTTGTTATTCCTCTTCATGTTGTCTAACATGAAGCTTAGACTCTCTAAAGATTTTTTATCCTTTTTTTTTCTGTTAGCTCTTCTATCTTAGCAGTACTGAGAGATTTGTCTTCCAGCTTGCTGGTTCTGGCTTCTTTCTCTTCAGTTCTACTCCTTTGCCCTTTCAGTGTATTGTCCATTTCTGATATTTACTATTAATCATTTGGACTTTTTGCAGATTTTTAATAGTTTCCAATGCTATATTATATCTATCTTTCTATCTTGTTTGATTGCTCCTGTAGCACTTTCCTGACTTGCTCCTTATTTTTTCCACCCCTCTGTGAAGCATTTGGATTTGTCTCCATATCATTTTCCTTAATTCCTTCTCAGGCAGATCCAAAGCCTGCTCTTCTTCTAATGGTTAGTCTATGCCTACCTCCAGTTGATTTGTCTCAGTTACTCTTTTCTGTTTCTGGACATGTGCTGAGCTCTTTTTCTTGGACATTTTCAATAGTTAGATGTGTTTTCAATGATTAAATAAATGTATGTTGCTGTAATATTAACCTTACTGACTGCCTCTTTGGGGATGTGTTCCGGAGATAGGTTTCCCTTTTCATGTCTCGTTTTACTCAACTGCGAGTAATCTTAGCAAGTGTTGGTTATCTGTGTAATGTGTAGCAGCTGGTAATGGCTCCTGCCTGGATGCTGGGATATTTATAGGGCATGATTGTAGCTTGGCTGTATGGCCACGATTGCTGTCTCTTCTTGGGTAATGTAGGGAGAGAAAGCTCCCACACCCCAAGGAAAAAAGGTAGGACTGAAAAGGCAAAAAATAAGCAACAACAACAAAAAATCTGCAGCAAAACAGTCCAGTAGTCTTTGATGAGTAGATAAGTGTGCGTGCACAGTGGAAATGGGTGGGGGTGTCCACTGACACAGGTACCCCCTCTAGTCACCGCTGTGGAGGTGCACAGAGAATGAGAAATGAATGTAAGAGCGATTGTTCACTCTTTTCTCTAATGATCGGTTAGGTCTCGCCATATCCACAACGTCCTTCTCCTTTTAGTGTGTTTTTAACAGGTGTTGGGTTTATACACTGAACTTGTATATAGTAGTTGGTGTTGGCTGTTGCCTTTTATGTTGGGGTTTTACAGGGTGCAGATACTGCTCAGCTGTATGGTCAGACTTGCTGTCCCTTGTTAGACAAGGCAGGAATAAAAGCTCACGCTCAAGTAGGAGAGCCATCTTCCAGCCTAAATCCCACAATCAGAAGTCGTAAGAATCTGCCAGAGGATTAGTCTCTGGACTTTCAGCTACTTTGCACCTTGGGAAACTTGTGTCCTGTGTGCACTCCCACCCATGCGAAGACACCCCGGCTGGGCAGAGAGGGTGTGGCAGGGTGGAACACAGGAGTTGAAGGAAAAATCACATCTCTTTTACCATAAGTCGCTGTGTGGTTTTCACTCACTAGCCGCTGGCTATGGCCCTGCCCTCTGACCTGTTTTAACAGGGTGGGTCAGAGGCAGAGTCCTGATTGATTCAGAAATCTCTGTATTCCTTCTTGCTCCATATGATTTCCCTCCTGGTTGGCCCACGAAACTATGTCCCCTTTACTTTATATTAAATTGAAAGCTCTGGGATTAACCTGGCAAAGCGGTTTTTTTCTGGCTTTTCCGCACTTCTACTGAGTAAGACTTTCCTGAGTCCCTTTGGCTTTCTCGGCCCCCAAACTGGAATTCTCTAGAAATATTTTTTAAAAGATCTGTTTCTAAGAAGACCTTACTGAATATCCTAATGTAAATATTGCAGGGACTGTTGTTAAGTGCCATTGAGATGGCTCCTACTCATAGCGACCCTGTGTAGGGCTTCCGAGGAGCAACTGGTGAGTCTGAACTGCCAACCTTGTGGCTAAAACTGACCTTGCAGAGTCCAGCGCATTAACTGGCATTGAGTGCAACAGCAGGACTCCTTGAAGGAACTAGGGTTACTGATTAGAGATATAAAAGATGACTGTGAAGAAAATTAAAACACTAAAGATAGGCCAACTGAGAAAAGGATGCTTGGGAATTATACAGAGGAATTGAATACCAGATTCACCTCAACACTTCCATCAATGTTACTGGTGCCCTCCCCAGGAAACAGAGGAGATGGGAATGTTCTATTTATGTGCTTCTGATATTCATTTCTTAGATCAAAAGGACAGTATGTAAAATATGAATTAGGCCATGGCTTAAGAGCAGAGGAATCTTATGGTGAGTGCCTTGAGCATGATATATTCTTCCTGGGGGAGCTTGATGGGCTACCAAATACGTTCTCCTCTGGAAAAGACAGAGGATTAGGGAGGTAATGGTAAGGAGAAGAGGCTGAAGGACACAAATGGGGTTAAGTGCCGTCAAGTTGGTCAAGCATAGGGTTTGAACCACTGACCTTGTGGTTAGTAGTCTAATGCTTAATGCTTATTATACTCCAGTACCACACCATGAGCTAGCAAGTGCAAACTAAGCTAAAAGGTGGTAGCCAGTAGAAGTCTTACGAAATCAACTTTAAAGTTCTAATTATGAAGAAGTCATTCTTTCTGTGTTCTGGTCACACAAACAGTACTTTTAAAGAGCTTACAAACAAGACAACAACCTCACTTCCCCTTCACACCTGTTTCTTATAAAGTGGTGGCGAGTGATTTCCTTTCTCCAGCCTTAATTCACCTTTCTTCCGACGGCCTCCCCCTCCCCCAATTTGTGTGAATATAAAGAAACGGTTTTTTTGTTTGTTTCTTTTTTAATGAGGGGAGTGACCTGGGGACAGTTTATAAATTCAGTCGTTTTCGGTTTTGTTACGGATACAGATGATCAAGTCACTGTGTAGAAACTCAGATTCAAATTCTAGGAGGGGAGTCTGCATCGACCTATCGCTAGTCTTAGAGCCCAGGGCACGTGCTCTCAGGTGGGTGGGCAATCTGCTAAACAAAGACAGAAGCCCCATGAAGGTGAACATTTCCGTATTTACCCTGTCACAATACCATTCAGAGTGCTTTCCTGTGATCTGTAGCCTCCACAACTCGGCTTCTCTAGAGGCCTAGATGCAATGGTCAAAGCAGCCCTCACTCTCTCTACTTCTAGCTCTTTCCTTTTACCAAAAAAAAAAAGTTCCCATGAACAGTGTGGTTCCGGAAGACTAGATGGATATTCCAGTACTAAGTAAGAGTCCTATGAGGCTTGGAGCTCTCACAAGTGACATTCCATCCTTGTTCTCACACCTTTCGTAGCTACGCTTTACAGGGGTTGACAGCTGTTTTGGAACTATACCTTGGGGTAAATCTGCTTTCTGAGTGTTCTCAGTTCGAGTCTGTGCCAAAGGGAGAACCAGGGAGGGAAGGGAGTGTTTGCTCTCCCAGCCAGGGCTTGACCCCCATATGGATATAACCATGCTTTTTGAACAACAAGAAAAGGGTAAACGTTTTTACAAGTGCACTGAGAATATTGAAATCTGGAGCATATGGGACCAAATCCAAGGTAGAATTGTTGGTTCTGACTCTTAGAGACCCTGCACAGGGTTTCCAAGACTTTAGAATCGTTGCAGGAACAGAAACTCTCTCATTTTTCCCCCATAAAGCAGCTGGTGGACTCGAACCACTAAACGAGTAGTTTGTAGTCCATTGCTTACCCATGGTAGAATAGATTGTTGACTATAAAACAAAAAACCCATTGCCAGAGTGTCTATTTCTAACTCCTAGTGACAGAGTTGAACTTTCTCATGGAGTTTCCAAGGCTGTTAGCTTTTTAGAAGCAAATTGCCACATTTCTCTCTCAGGGAGGGGCTAGTGGTTTTAAACCGCTGACTATTCCGTTAGCAGCCAAGTGCTCAACAACTACACCACACCAAAGCTTCCTAGGTGGTTGCTTACATGAAGGAATGTAAATACCCATCAAAAGAATATTTTAACTTTTAAAAGTTAGTCCTGTGAATCATTTGCTGCTATTCTATATTAAATAATCGTATCAAAGATAGCAGCAGCTGAATCAACAAATGTTGAATATTACTTCTAAAAACTTTGGATAATAGAAGCAGAGATTTGAAGAAGGCCAAGGTAACTTAAATGCTTATGCTCAAAAGAGTAGGATTTTTCCTTGAAAAGGCAAAATGGGATTCTTCTCATTTAATCTAGATTCCTAAGCATGTCATTTGCACAAGGAAGGCTGGAACAAAATGACAGATGTAATAAGTCTCACCACGGCCAGGTCTTTGTAAATGGGCTATAAAGATAGTTAGTGCATCTAAAGGTAATTGCTCTCCAAAGGTTAACCCAAGGAGCTGTGAGACATTTTGCTACAGTGACATAGAAAGACCCATCCGTATATGAGTGTGAATGTTCTCTCTGTGAAAGGGAGGATGGGCTGTATCCTAAGCTGCAAGCTGATACATGACAATTTAAATAATCAGTGGAGTTCACATATCTGTGTGTAGGGGTTTACATATTCTAAGAATATTGTAATTTTACAATGCAAACACAGAGTGACAAACGCACGTTAATATGCCCCCAAACATTTTCTCTACTGTACGTAAAATATTTCCATAAACATTCTTCACCATGCATTTGTGGCCTGTTGTTTCAAACCATTATAACTTAATCACTGTATGGGAGGTAGACCATTTGGAAGAATGAGGCTGTGTAAACAAGGAAAATTAGATTGTCAGTTGACACACATTCAAAGCTGCAAAATAAGAAAGTCTTGGGTGACGTATCTATAACAAGTATTTTCTTCCATTATCAATATTCAAATGTTAACATGTAAAAAATGCCCAGAAAACTCTCAAAGAATCAAGAGGTGTTGTATAGTTTTTCAGTCCCTTCATTAAGAAAAAATATAAGGGAATATATAAAAGCTGTCCAGCTCAAATAGGTTAATTTTGCTGCTTGTCTACTAACCAGAGGGACATGTGGGGTGGAAAACAATGGCAGAGAAGAAGGTAAAAAAAACATAGGCTATAAGGTGGCAGTTAATAGTTCCTGGGGCAGTGGGGCATAGCAATGATATAGAAGCTTGGATCAACTGTTTTAGAAGCTGATTGCATCCACCTTCTTTGAGAACCATCCAGTAAGACAAGTAATCATGATTGTTTCTGTTGAGGGAGAATGCTCTGAAAGAGGGCACTCTACATTAGAAGGGTTTCTTAGCCTTCTATGAAATCATCTGAGACCAGTAGCAAATATTAACTTGAAGTCAGTTTTGAGTTGAGATACTAAACTGGCTCTGTACTTACTAGTCACATTCATCAAATTGTAAGAGTATATTTTCATTTGTGAATGATTTTAAATATTAAATCAAAACATAATTAAACATTTTGTTGGTCCATACTGCCTGGTAGGGGTTACTCAAAACCAGGATGTCATAAGAACTAATCTAACAGCAGAGAATTACAAAAGAAAAGGTGTTTTACCCCTGCTGTCCTTGCCAGAAGCAAAATTTATATAGCACAAGACCCCACATAAGAACGAGCATGGTTTCTTCTGCCATTCAACAAAGTCCCTCTTCAACAATGATGGGGAAATCCCAGCAATGTACAACATGATAGAATGGAGAGGAGCTGGACAAACAGACAAGACGACACACAGAGCAATCGTGAGCACGTGCTGAGGAGGACAACCATTCCCACTGGCCTGTTACTTTGCAGACCAAGGACAGACTGGCGATCAAATCAAAGTTCTTGTTTTAGGGGAACTAGGTCCTGGGGCAAGAGAAGCAGCATGAAGAGATGTGTACAGACACACATCCACAACCTACGTGAAGGCCAACTGGGTTCAAGCTTCTGCAGAACAAGGTCAGAGAGAGGAGCTGTACCAGAAACAGAAGTCACAGCAATGCTCATACGTGGCTACTGGAAGCAGTTAGAACTGAAATAAAGCATCCTGGCTTGTCGCAGGGATACCACTTAAGGTAATAGTCACCATTCAAGAGCCATCATATCTGGAAGGAAAATGGTTTTTCTTTTCGGCTTATGTTTTGGGGTCTAAGTTTTTATTTTTCCCCTAGAATGTCTGAATACAAAAATTTAATTAAAACCTGGAAATTAGCTTTTATTTGGATGAGTTTGAGTGTTAGATTCTTCTTAATCAAATAATTTGTAAAGTATAATATTACTGTGATTTTTAATTTTTTCTTTCTTTTATACTGCCTGATCATTCTTTTAAAACTTTATCCTATTTCAAGTCATGATCCAAAAAGTAATTTGCCAAAGAAACCTTTGTTGTTAATGTTTACAGTGGGCACCTGGTAGGTTATCTAGCTGTATGATAGGTAACTAACTGCTTAAAGCTGCTCTCTTGGGTGCCTTTGAGGTGACCAGAGGAACTATATTGTGGGTTGAGGATCAGCTTCCCCTACTGAAGGGCCTCTAGCAAGCATAAGCCTAAAATATGACTTTCCTACATTGATGGGAAATGACAAAAACAGGGAGACTTCTTATGATACATCCTAGAATTCCCTGGTGAATTCTGATGGTTTAGAACTAAGTATACTTTTGCAAGCTATTTGGCTCAAAACCTACTTCAGCCTTCCCTAGTAAAATGATGTCCCTTGGAGATTCAGTACTGTAGAGCGACTCATGTCTAGGGGTGCTTAATTGATTCCAGATGACGTGACCTCAACAACAGCTCCTCTCCACTTAGCTCCAATTCCTTTTTTCTAAGACCTCAAATTGTTCTTTCTCCTATGTAATTATCATGAATCTGTGGATTTTATAGCAGGAAGGGACCTTTAAGACTCTCAGAGGGGGGCAATGATTTGCCTAAGATCCCACGGTAGATTGGTAGCAGACATAGAACCTGAACCTGGCTTCCTGATTGTCTAGTTCATTCATTTTTCTTTTACAGCATACTATCTCTTAGAAGACCAGAATAAAAACAAAACAAAACCAAAAATCTGAAAATACCTGTCAAGCTCAGGACTCCATCTATAGATGTGAAGAGATTCTACAGCTGGTGAGTGGTAGGCTATTTTTAAGACAAAATGCATGGAAATAGTTTTTGCTTTTCAAAGCATGTGCTCCTCCATCCCAAGTTTTAGTTCTCCCCATGGCATATTCTTTTTTGGTCACTTCTGGCTGACCGTTTTCTCTGTGGAGAATTTGGGGGGAGGCTGTCCACCAGAGCAGCAAATACTCACTGTTTATGGTACCTGCTAGTGCATTAATATTATTCAGTCCGACAGTGGCTCCAGCCAATCCTTGCAGAGTCCCAAGAGAGGTCAAAGAATTCATGGCTGCACCAGCAGTGGAATTGGGGGTCGAAGCAGCCACTGAAAAACAAAAGGAAGACAGAGGAAAGGGGGGAGAGAGAACACAAGATGAGTGAACGCCAAGTGGAGCGGAAAGCAATCTGCCATCATCAAACAGATGGAGCTGGGGAGTAGTTTAATCAGCACCAGTCTGTGCGCCTCCTTTACATTTTTGGTGTGAAAGACATATGGGATTGTACTTGTGGCCATTCTGACAATTAGATTTGGTGATTTAAAAAATCATCATAGTTCTGTCTTGCCAGTACAGCACTGATGACTGTGTTCATTGCTAGTTAGTGGGAAATTTTTGCAAATGCAAAACAGTCTGAAGGGAGTCCTGGGAGGCCACTCCTTCTGGGCAGGCCAGTCTCGCATTAGTCTCTCTTTAGCAAAGCACCTGCCAGCAAAGCCTCCTATTCATCCAGGTTAAAAAATGACCGAAATCCAATGGGGTGGGGGGCGGGGGGGAAATTAAATGGCAATTCTTGCTTTTAGGGAAAAAGAAAATAATGACTCCTCCTAAATTTGACTAAAGACCAGGACTGAAACAGTGACAGTGATGGAGGGAAACTGATATGAGGTAAAACCATTTTGGTTCAAATCCTCTTCCCCTATTTCTGTTTTATCGGTCAGTGTACTGTGAGCTAGAATTCATAGAGTTCATATACCATAAAACCCGCCCTTTTCAAGTATACAAGTCAATGGTTATTAGCATATTTACAGAATTATACAATCATCATTACTGGACTGCTAACCACAATGTTGGTGGTTCAAACCCACCAGTGACTTCCTGAAAAGCTTGTACAGGGTCACAATGAGTTGGAACAAAAAGCATCATCACTCCAAAAAGAAACTGCCCATTAGCAATCTGTCTCCATTATGCATCTCCCACCTCCAGAGTGGAAACCACTAATCTACATTTTCTGTCTCTAGAGCTCTGGTAGTGTAGTGGTTATGAATCAAGCTGCTAACCGCAGGGTTAGCAGTTCAAAACTAGCAGCTGTTCCACGGCAGAAAGATGAGGCTTTCTGACATCACCACCACACCACCAACAACCATGCATTTATCAATTCTAGATATTCATACAAGGTGGCTCATACAAGATTTGTCTTTCACTCAACATAATGTGCTTACACTTCATCCATGTCGTAGCATGTAATTACTATGGCCTTCCTTTTTATTGATGAGTAGTAATATTTTATGAATATACTATATATATATTTAAGTCCATTTGTGGATATCTGGGTTGTTTCTACATTTTGACGATCATGAATAAAGATGCTGTAAACATCTTTGTACAAATACATTCTCAATTCTCTCTAGAAGTGGAATTGCTGGGTTATAGGAGCACTGGTAATTCTAAGTGTAACATTTTGAGGCACTCTTAGACTACTTTGCAAAGCAGTAGTACCCTCATTCCTTTTGCATTTATAACTGCTGCCATAAGTAGTATTTCAATCATCTTATACTTGTAAATCTTTGCAATTTGCTGACCTTTCTCATCGACATTACCTTACTTGACCCTAAGAGGGAGTCAGGCGTTAAACTGAACTTTCAGCATTGCTTATAAAAAGCACTCGGTCCTTTTCTTGCCGTGAACTGCATGCGAACATTCTCTCCATCTAGGATGGCCAGGAAGTTGATCCATCCTCTTGAAATGCTCATTCCCTGCTCTGTTGCACAGACCACATTATATTGTTCACAATATACCTTTCTTGAGAGCCCTTTTGGCTGGGACCAGATCAAATTCTTAGCAAGTGAATTCCCTACTTGTCTCATTTCTGTCCATGTATGGTATCAGCTTCTGATACCTCATCTTGTGTCAGAAGAAAACAGGTGTTTTCTCAAGTTTTGGACCTTTTAAATTTGAAAAATTTCAAACATACACAAAAGCTTAGATAATAACATAGCAAACTCCCTAAACTCTGATTCAGATTCCAGAATATTTGACAATCAGTTTACCGTCCCCCCCATTGTTGTTGTTGTTATGTGCCGTGGAGTCAGTTCTGACTCATAGCGACCCTACACAGGGTTTCCGAGGCTGTAAATCTTTATGGGAGCAGAAAGCCTCATCTTTCTCCCGCGGAGCAGCTGGTAATTTCGAACTGCTTACCTTGCGGTTCGCAGCTCGATTCATAATCACTACTCATTAAGTGTATTTTAAATCAAATTTCAGACTTTTTTACTCTCACTTCTACACACTTTAGTATACAGCACAAAAAATTGTGGACATTTTCTCTTAAAACCATAAAACTCTTAGCACACCACAAATAATAATTCATTGGGATCATTATTTGATAGTGGATAATTAGCTATGTATCTAAATAAGACTGATCTTTATTTTTCCTTACCTCAGAAAATGATTTTGCATATGTGTGAAACTAAAATTGAGATAGAAAGGAATATTGGGAAACCTAAAAGGGGTTCTAGAACTTGCCCACTGAAACAGGTGTCTTGTGGACCCTTTAGGTAGCCTTTTGTGTAGTATATGGAGTTCATTCCCACTTGAAAGGACATACAGATCAGCCTGGAGTAGCTAGATGAACAGAAGATACTTCTTGAAAGAAAGACCAGCAGGAAAAAACAAAAACGGCATACTGTTTGGCTATTATAAGAACAAGCAAGCTGTTCGCCAGGGAGCCATCAAGGCAAGCGATCCAGTCCCTTAAGAACAACCCCCCTTTTAAGACTGAAACTCAAAGGGAAAACATGAGCAACTGAGTGGAAGTGGTGGAGGAAAGGCAGTAATGAAGACATGGGCTCAGTTCGACCATGTTCCATAGACTCCTGTTGACTTTGAGATGAGACAGAAGAGGAAGAGCTGGCTGGTCACAAGTTTGGGGAGACCTGTGCCCATGGACACTCAACTAGCCATAGTGGGCTAGAACTAAGAGCTAAGTGTCTAGCTGATATGAAGAGGGGGGAGGCAACACAAGAATGACTAAAACTTGCAGACCGTACCCATTTGACCTTTAATTTAAATGGCTTGATGATCAGAACTCAATGAAAGGAAGATAAAGAAGTTTGATACAGAAAGCAAGGGAAATGGCTACAATTTGATTTAGCTCAAAATACCAACCGAGAAAAAAGCAGTCTTCATGTTCAAGGACCATGCCTATCCCCTCAGTACAGAGTTGATAGGGATGGGCAACTTAGACATTGACTACCAAAATAAGGGTGGGGGTAGGGGCGACTATAAAGTCACAAAGTAGCTGGCTTAAAAGTTCTCGAGAGTTTAGCTTCAGAATGTGTAAGGAAAGGTAGAATCACCCCTGGTTTTGTCTAGATGGGATAGGATTCTTTTGAATCAATAGTGAATAATTGTAAAGGTAAAAGTTGTATAACAAAAAGGGTGGATAGTTAATCTTACAGTCCAGGAACAGAGAACCTTAGGACCATCAAGGGAGAAGCGCATGAGCCTAACTTGGGATCCTAACCACAGAAGCAGCGGCACCAGAGATGGAAGCCAAGGTGATGACATGGAGAGAGAGAGCAGTTGAGGACTCTAGACTTAGAGAAAGAGAAAGGCTGTGTGGTGGCACACAGGAGGCTGATTGCAAATGTGCCCTTTGGTTGTTTAAATTATTATATATCCTGTGTGATTTTGTATACATCAAGGGCAAAAAAAAAGGTGGGGAGGCACGGAATAGAGGCAAATACTGTTAACTGGTGGTGTATGGAGGGGATTGTAATCATTGCATTGAAACAAAAAACAATTATTCGAGTGCAAAACCCATGTTCTCCCATGTAAACCATCACTCAATTCATAATACAAGCATTAACAACAAAAAAATGGCCTGGACCATTTTTTTGCTTCTTTATGGGATGATTTAAAAATACTGATTGAATTTTTCTAATTGTTACAGGATTATTCAAGTTTTCTTTTTACTTTTGAATCAGTCATAAGTTAAAGCTTTTTAGAAATTTGCATATTTCATTTGTTTTCAAATTTTTTAGTGAAGAGCTATTTATAATATCCTCTTAATAAATTTTAAGAATCAGGATCATCTGCATTTCAATTCTATTTTTGACCTGTTTGATCTATCACTTAATGGAGAAAAACAAATGATAATTTTCCATAATATCAATTTACTCAATTAAAAAAAAATATGTTGAAGGTATATTGCTACTTGCAAACAAGCTCAGAAATTCTATCTTCTGGTGAAACACACCTTTTATGGAGACCCTTTCAGTAAGTCTGTTTTATTGGATATTATAATTAAGGTTATTTTGCATCGTATATCTTTTTACTTTTTTGTCTGTTTATATTTTACCTCTGTCTGTTGTAATTGGTAGGCAGGTTTTTAAAAACAGTCTAAAACTTTAAAAATTTTTTTTTACTAGAAGCTTTTAGATTTTGTGCTATTGACACACCAACTTTATTCTTTTCGCTTTTTTTTTCTTTCCTATTCCATTTCCCCCTGCTTCTCTTTTGGAGTTAGCACTCAATAACTATTTCTTTCATATATTAAATGTTAACATTTATAGTCATCTCATAAAAATCAAAGTTAATTGTTTGTTATTTTTATCCTTTGTCAGAATTAGAAAAGTCCCCTAACTAAGACTTGTCCTTAGTTTATTCTAGCTTGATTTTATGTTAAAAAACATTACTGTGTAGTTTCTTTAGTTATTCCCTCTTTCATATCAGGTTGTTTCTCTTTTACTTTGAAATATATACAATAGAAGTTCCTTTAACAAAACAAATAGATCCTCACTTACAGGAAGTACACAGTCTCTTAGCTTTTGATTCTGCTATTTTTCCTTTCAATCTTCATAGAACCCAGCTTCCCAGATTTGCTCAGCATACAGGTGGAATAAGCATGGTAAAAGAATACAACTTTGTCACACACCTTTCTTAATTTTAAACCATTCAGGAAGACTCATTAACAACCTTGCTTATTGAAAGTGAAGAGGACTTAAAACATTTACTGATGAAGATCAAAGAGCACAGCCTTCGGTATGGATTACATCTCAATGTAAAGAAAACAGAAATCCTCACCACTGGACCAATAAACAACTTT